TAAGTGAATCAGTATGGTCATAGTTTATCACAGTTGCCATAAAAAATTTAAGCTATTTTTAGATAACATTGTGAATAAAAAATCTACAAAAAATAAGAGGACTAAAAATATCTATAAACCCCACAGTGAGTGTTAAAAATTTGTATGTATCATTTTCCCAGAATTTCCGCATTGTACACACTCATAAGATATACACCATGTGCTATGTGGTATAAAGTGATTTAAGACCTCACTTTGCCAGTAGTGACTGTAAGGAAGTTTACATCATACTAAATATTCTTCTACACAATCATTTTCTTTATTTTCTGTTTCCTTTTTATTCATAATTTTAAAACAATAGTTTTTTTTACTAGTTATTTAGGATTATAAACAATGCACAAATGAATAGTCTTAGAGCCAAATTATTTCTTTCCCACATATTTCTAGACCTGGAATTTCTGGGACAGGGAGTATATACATTTTTTTTTTTTTTTTTTTTTTTTTTTTTTGGGTTTTCTCCGGTACCGGGAACCGAACTCATGACCTTGCGCTTGCCAGGCAGGCGCTTTGCCGGTGAGCTAAATCCCCAGCCCCAGTATATACATTTTGAAGATATATACAGTTTTCACCCTCTGGAAAACCTTCACTAATATATATTGCCAACTAAGAAATGTGGGGATGTATATGCTTCAAATTTGAACTCATATTTTATAAAATTGGTGTTTTAATCTTTTCTACTGAGACTAGAAGTATTACCCAGATGATAGGCCTATCATTTTGTGAATGCAAATTAAGCCACATTAACTATAATGTCTTTATTAGTTAGGATTGGTTGAGTGATATGAACAGAAAGACCATCATAAAAGAAGTTTAAATCAAAATGAAGTACATTGTATGCCACACAGATGTCCCTGTAGGTAGATCAGGGCTAAAATGGGGCCAGGCATAAGCTCAGCACTGGCAGGCACCCTGATTCTAGCACATTACCCATCTCTGCTTGGCCCATGACATCCTGGTCCAAAATGCACCATCTGAGATCCACAAAGCAGAATGGGGGCAGAAACAAAGAACAAAAACTGCAAATGATTCACTTAGTTTCTTCTTAAATAAAAGATTCCTCAAAGTGCTACCTAATACTTCCTCTTCTGTCATATTGGCTAGCACTTGGACACTGGCCAAGTTCTGGAAAACTTGTGTTAATTAAAAAAACTTTACTTCTCTGGAGAAAGGAGAGCGTATTAGTTTGATAGAGCTGTCATAACGAAGTTCTAGAAATTATGGAGCCCATAGACCAGAAATGTAGTCTCACAGCTTGCTCTGGAGGGCAGATGTCAAAAACCAAAGTGTCAGCAGAGTTTGTCTCTTGTGAGGATTGTGAAAGAATACATGTTGCAGGACTCTCTCCTTGTTTTATAGATAGTATCTCCTCCCTAAGTATTTTCATGTAATCATATATGTGTATATCTCCCAATTTTCTCTTTTTGTAAGGACACAGCCAAATTTAATCACAACTGACCCTAATGGCTTTGCTCGAACTTGCTTACCTCTGTAAAGACTATATCTCCAAATAAGGTCATATTCTAATGTACTGGAAACTAAATTTTCAACAGTGAATGTTTTTGGGGGATACAGTCAAATCATAATAGAGGACACAGATGTTGGGGACAACTAGCAGTTTCTGCATGATTCTAAAATTAGCAAGGTTCTCAGCTTGCACCCATGTGATTGGAGGACCTTCCTCCATCTCTCTATTGGCTGAGTCACTTACTTATGAGAGTCCATAGGATGAGTAAACTTGCTACCTTCCTTTGGCCTTCCTTATCAAGGACCTTCATCACACTCCCCTGCTGGGTGTTCATATCTGACTTGAAACTACAGCATACAGTGTTTATATATGTGTGAATGTGTCCCACTTTGTCTCCAGGGCTCCAGTAGTACTTGGCACCACTTGCACACCAGATAATATGTACTACTGTACTGCTAAAAATAATAGTTAACTTTCACTATAGGCAAATTTACCTGTTGGATGCTAGTTTAAATACTTTATAAGCATTATTTTATTTGAAGTTCCCAACTCTATCCTTATCTTCAATAGACAAACTTCACAGTTCACTCAACTTTCCTGAAGTCACATGGCTAGTAAGTGGCAGGGATACAATTAGAACCCAGGTCTGTCTAACTCTTGAACCTGTATGCTTGACCATCACACCACTACTCCAAGAGTCTTTCACCAACATCAAAGCTATAGTTTGTGGCTCTGTCTCCATCTGAGGGCTTAAAACCTTGGCGTGGCTAGGAACACAGATGGTTTACTACACTTTAAAGTCATTTTACTTCTACACCTCTTTCTCTCCCACAAGCATTCAATCTACCATCAAGTTGCATAGATCTTAGTTCCAACACATATTTTAATCTTAACCATTTGAACCTGTTTACACTTGCTCTGGAATTCCACAGATTAAGGCACAACTGGGTCACATCAACTTCAATGTCTAGGTGAGACTTGGTGTGGAATGTACTTCAGACTGATTCCACTGCTTTCTCTCCCCCTGGCTGTATGTGTTTTCTAGAGTTTATCTGTTTTCTACAGTATAATCATTTACAAAAGCAAACCAGTGAATAAATGCATCTCCCAAGGCATGGTGCACAAAACTCCACTTTCTACCTTATAATAGCAAAAAACAACAAGAACGAAAACAAAACAAAATAACAGTAAACACATACACAGTGAAAAACCCTCAGAAAGAAGCACCAAATCAATGCTTCCCTAAGCATCAAGTCTGAATTCCACTTTCAGCTCAGCAAACACACACACTGAGGTTAGCTGAAGTCTTTTTGCATATTACACGACTGTGATCAATAATCTGTGTTATCTATAGAGACCACAGTAGGCCGATGGATTTGCGAGGCAGATCACTTTCTCAAAGCAGAGACTGTGGAATGCTCTACCTAGGAGGGTAAATATAACAGGAGAAGAAAGTAAATCACTCAGAAGGGACTCTAACATTTTCCATGTGCTAACCAACATCACATTTCACAAATTTTACATATATGAACTTACAACAACTCTATAAGAAATTCATTTAACTAATTACAGAGATACAGGGAGGTGAACTTGCTTACCCATTATTATGTAGATAATAATTTACAGAATTGAACACAATTTTAATCATTTCTATGAATGAGTTTTCATAAAGGGGGAGCAGAATATACCTAATAAAGATAGTACTGGAAGAGGCAAATATATACAAATAGGTACTTATATATATATATAATGTAGTCTTTCAGCTTAGGCAAATAGGGACATGCTTTTATTAATCAAAAGGCAAATGTTAAGCATTCTTGCTCTCTATTTATGAATTTAGATATTATATTTGTTCAAAGTTAAATTTTGTTACATCCGCATTCCAAAGAAAAACCAATTTCTCTTTGGTATCTAGAGTTGCTTGAAAGAGCAGTCAGGACCTACTTTCGGGTCATTCCTTATGCCCTGATTGGTGCGCCATTTTGTCTTATTAAGTAACTTGTTCCATGGCCTTAGAGATGTCATCTTATGCCAACAGGTCTTCCTTCTGTCAGCAGAGACAGCCAGCTGGACAGACTGAGAACACTGTTCTGTACTCAGACCAATGACTTAGTAACTACTAGCCACGTGATCTCAGGCAGGGTGCATATTACTTCATCCAGCTTGTAACCTTATCTTCAAAGTAGGGATACTATCTGCCACATGAGGGTTAGTCAGAAAAAATCATAGTGTTTGGTGTATATTGGATGGTTGGTAAGTATTTTGTCTCTATTACACTGCATGAAATTTAATTTTTTCTTAAAACTCTCAATAGACTTAAAACTCTCAATAGACTTATCAGACATTGGTTAAGTGGTTTTCCAGAGTCTTGTTCATTCTAACTATTAATTGGGCAATGAGAGCTGCATACTTTTAGCCGTATTAAAATGTGGAAAGTGATATATATATATAGAGAGATATATATAGAGAGATATAGATATATATATAGTGATATATATACAGAGACACAGATATATTTATACATCTATATCTATATATAGTGAGAGACCATTGAGTTATGAAAAATTTTTAAAAACTGCTTTTATTTCCAACATTTGGGGAACACAGTAGAGAAAAGAAATTTGGCTTAAACCTGGAAGGATGCTACAAATAGTACTTCTCTTCATAACCCATAAAATGAATTATTACTTTCTTATTTCTTCCCTGTGGTACAATTCACCAGTTAGCACCACTTTTATGAACTTTATAAATTACATGCAATTATTGTTTCTATTAGTTCTTGTGTGCTTCTTCGTAAGAAGGTTGTTTTATAATCACCGCATTTCTAGCACTTGAGTAAGGTAACAGCTGTAATAATGAAGTAACAGAAAGGATGTTTGGAGATTAGGCTCAGCCTCAAAGGAAGAGTGTGGTACTTAGCTTCTGTGAGTGATTTTTTTTTGAGTTGCCAGATAAAATACAGGGCATCCAGTTACATTTCAATTTCAGATAAACAGTGAATAATTTCTTTAAGTGTGTGCCATGCAATATTTAGGATATACTGAAAATACTACTGTTCTTTTACTTGAAATTTGACATTTAATTGGGCTTTCTGTATATGCGCAAACTAATGTCCCCTCAAATCACGTTTGTTGACTGCAAACGGGGATGAAAACAGACCTTCTTCCGATGACCTGTGTAAAGAACTGTGACACGATCAAAACTTTGGGACAATGGTTACCATTATTAGACGGTTTTCTAAAGAGAAGAAAGCTCAACAGAAATCTGAACAAAGTACAAACTGCGTTGAGAGATTTGTAAATTTGCATCCAGTTCTACAGCTGGAGGGTCCTCAAGGGACATCCCACCTAGCTGTAAAGCGCGCTTATAGTTTCAAGAACCACCACCCCCCCCCCCCCCCCCCCGCCGGTGTCTGCGCAGGCGCACACAGACCCCGGCGGCAGCTCGCCGGCCCCGCCCTAACCGGGTCACGTGGGTGAGCGCCGCGTGCGCGCAGGGGCCGGGCCGGGTCACGTGACCCTTGCCCCAGCGGCGCACCAGGATGGAGCCGGAAGAGGGCACGCCGCTGTGGCGGCTGCAGAAGCTGCCCCCGGAGCTCGGCCTGCAGGTTAGGGGCTCGGGCGGCTGCGGGGCGTGCGGTGGGTCCCCGGGGGAGGACGCGAGGCTCGTGGCGCGCCGAGGCGCCGACCCGGAGTCGCGGGTCGAGGGGCTTTGCACGCGGCCCTGGGAGCGCCCGCCCCTCGGCCGGCCGGGCGGGGGAGTCGCCACGGAGACCCTGCAAGCTTCATTCACGCTCGGAATGTGGCTTGCACTCTCCTAGAACGCGTTGCATTCGTTCACCAAGTTCCCACCTCCCGTGAGCTCCAGGCTCAGAGCGGATCTGGCCCGCTTGGGGCGGCCCGGGAGCACAGTAACCGGGTGGGGGCTTTCGTTAGGATGGTGACAGCGGTGACGTCGGTGAAGGAACCTGGCTTGCGAGGACCTGGGGAAAGCAGTTCGTTTGACCGTTTTCTCGTGTTGACTGCGGTCAGCCGAAAGCCTAGTGCCCTGATGGGGCCGCGCGGCGGTGAGTGGGATCAGCCTGTGCCTGCCTGGGCGCCCTGCACGAGTCAGTGTCTGCTTTCCTTTTCCCTTTACACTCACTCTAGGGAGGACGGGAGGGAGTTGACTTCCCTCCCGCCGAGATCCAGCAAATGCATCCCAACTTTTCTCTCTGGCTTTACCAGTGAGAAAACTGACATGTCAGGGTCTGAGTAACTCGCCCGGAGTTGTCCGCCGTGGGCTCAGAGGTCCTGAGTCTACTGGCTTCCGTTCTCCTGCTTTCTACCCACCTTAGGGAAGACCCCTCACCTTTACTTCCACAGACCTGGAGGACTCCTAGGTCGCAGGGTCCAGCCAAAGAGCTCTGCCCTGAGTGTCAGGCTTCTGCCTGGTCTCCTGGAATTCATTGTGAACTTGGACTGAGCGCCTCTATTTTGCTATGTAGCTTCTTCTACAGCCTCTTTTTCACTCGGTGTCACCAGCACTTCCACGTACTCACTCGACAGATTCTCCGTTTCATCCTCGGCCCTTCCTTTTCACGTACCTCTTACTTCTTTATTTTGAGTGTTCTCAATAATTTAGCTCATAATCTCTGTCCTGTAAACTGAAGACAGGGGCAGTGGTCCCTTTCTCTCCCATTCTCTCTTCATATCTTTCAGCCTGTTGGCAAATTTATGAAAAGATGGTGCAGACAGGTGACTAGGTTGCTTCCTATTGGACGTTGAGTGCAGATTAAATTGTAGGCTCTTTGAATTGTGTACAAGGACCTTTATGGCCCTTGGCCACGTGTCTAGCCTTGTCGCTTCTCAGTCTCCCCTACCTTCCAAATTACCAGCTGTCCCCAAATCGGTGTGATTATTATGCTGTCATCCTGTGTATGTGCAGTTGTTAGTGACTGCAAATGTCACAAACACTTCCTCTCCTGTTTGCCTGCCCAGCTACTGCTCTTAAGACAGCCTTTTTTTTTTGCTTCCTTTCTGTGCTCCTTTGCAACCGCTGTAAACCTCTGTTACAGCAACTGTCATTCTAAATTACATTTATTTATTAACGTCTGCCTTTTTCTGGTAGACTGAACCTCCATTATGGTAGGGCTTTAACTTATGCTTACTTTCTTCGCCTGTAACATGGGAGTGATCACAGTGTTTACTTCAGGTTAATAGCGATAGTGCTTGCTATCTAGTTAGGAGTCAATAACTGATAGTAGATATTACAATCATTTTTCGTTGTATTTCCATCACATTCTTTAAGGGCTGGGGGTGTAGAATGCCGAGTTGAGTGCTTCCCTAGCATGTGTGAGGCCCTGGGTTCAAGCCCCACTACCACAAAGGAACAAAACCAAAAAACCCAGTTACCTTATTTAATAAATGCAGTAAAGTATTCATTACATATTGATTAATTAAAAAACAATCCAAAACAAAATAATAACACTTTTATTTTTCAGTTTGAGTCCTGAATTTCGCTTTGTCATGGAGACAATAAGGGATAAGATGGAATATCTGTACACAAGAGTTTTAAATTGATTGTTGGTTGATTTATGGTACATGAAAATTCTCTTTCATTTTACATCAGTCATTGTGTGGAAGTAGAAGTCACCAGCTGTTTATCTCTGTTTTAATGTGTGTGGTATTATAGGGAGTTATTGCTTAAAATGTAGTGGAATATGATACTGAGGGAAAGAGCTGAAAGACTTGCCACTTAAAACATTATTTCAGTTATTGATTTTCAACTATTCCTCTTACAAGATACAGATATCTCTTAAGAAAGATAGTCATATTAATCTTTACCTAGAATTGTTCTGGCATATGAGGCACTCCATCAATATGTTGAAGGCTAGAATCAGGAAGAATAGTAGGGATTATAAGAATGTTACCAAAGGCTAGCAGTGTTTCATTACTTTGTATAAGCCAAGAATGTGGCAGATAATTCGCATACATTCTTATGTCATTCAAACAGAAACATTATGAAGATAAGTGATATTCTTATTTTACACTTGAAGAAATACAGAACATTTCAGTTAGGCTAGAAAATAGTGTAACTAGTATTCAGACTAGCTAGTTTTGTACCCAAATCTAGACTTCATTCTTGTGCTCAGTTATACCTGCATTAGGGTTTCCATTGCTGACAGCGAGGTAGGGTAGATGGCATGCAGCAAAGAAAACAAACAGTACCAAGGGTTTTCCTAGAGTACAGCAAAAGAAGTAAACATGAATTCTGTGAAAATGGAGGCAAAGCAAAATGAAGTTCGTAAAAGCACAGTAAAAGACTGATGTAAAAGTCACCCTTTGTTTGGTCATTGATATAAGTATGGTGTCTAAGTTTTCTGAGGTGAAACTTTTGTACTTACCATCTGTCTTAGTTACTTTGCTCATTGCTGAGACAAAATACCCAACACAAGGAGGAAAAGTTTATTAGGCTCACAGTTTGTAGAGGGTTCATTCGGTAGTCAGCTGACTCCAAGGCAGGGTAGCATGGCAGAGGGGCATCGCAGAGGGCACACAGTTCATGGCAAAGCAGTAGTGCAACCAGTAGTGAAGTAGCCAGCAGCTAGAGGCTGCAGCAGCCCTCTTTCTGTCCCTTACATATCCAGGCTACCTACCCTTAGAGTTGGTAGCACTCACCCCCAGGGAAGGCCTTCCCATTATCCAACCCCGCAACTGTGCGAAACCAATCAGTGGACTAATGTAGTAATCATGCAGCCTCAATCCTAGCATCACACAATCCCAGCATCACACACTCTAGATCCAGCCACCTCTGTAAAGCCCCACCTAGGACTACATGAGGCTTTGAGGTAACTCTTAGGCACAAGCCATAACACCATCTTCTTTTCAGGAATGTTTAAAAAAAATAGTAATAGGTCTTTAAAATTACTTTTGTTTCTGAAGGTAGGTATAATATTTGAAGGTCTGGGATTTTTATGGAACTCTAATTTTTAATTAAGAATAAACAGTTACATTTCTGTCTCAGCTGCAGATATCAGGAACGTCTCAGCAGCATTTGTTCACTATAAAGATGCATTTTATTTATAAATACATTTACTTTCTTTTTCTCTCTAGCTTCTTCACAAAATAATTGATGGCATTTGTGGTCGAGCTTATCCTCTGTACCAGGATTATGACAGTGTTTGGGACTCAACAGAATGGGCGCATGTTCTAGAAGATGTTACCAAGTTTTTCAAAGCTGTAGTTGGTAAAAATTTATCGGATGAAGAGGTAACTTCACTTTAAATTTCTAAACCCAATAATAAATAATGCCCAGACTTTTAAAGGTGAGTTTTATAGCATTGTATAATAGAAGATTCGTCATCAGTAAATATTGTATATGTTATATAACAATACGAACCACATTGTTGTAAGTAGCAAATCTGTGAAATTTGTGGGGTTTTGCCCTGTTTGTTTAGTTGTGAAATAGGTAAAACATAGAGCAAAAGAGAGTTCTAAATTAATCCCTATATGCCCATGACCATGATGAAACAGTTAACATTTTACTTTATGTGTTTCAGGTTTTTGTGTTTGTTTAGAAATGACTTCCACACTCTTGTCTGTATTTGTACATGTCTCCTTGTACACATCTGGCTTTTCTAGGGGTAAACATCTTGGTGAAATTGCAGGATGGTGTGAGATCCTCTTTAATTGCATTGCTTTTGTGTCTTTGCCAAAAATCATGGGAATATTTGGGTAGATTGCTCCCTTAAAAAAAAAGATGGAGTTCTGTATATTTGTCATGTTGATTTGGATGATACACTGGATATGAATTCTTTGTTAGACAAGTCTTTTAAAATAAATGTATTTTAAATATCTTCCATTGGATGGGTTGCCTTTTTACTCTTTTTTTTTTTTTTTTGGTTTTTCTCCGGTACCGGGAACCGAACTCACGACCTTGCGCTTGCCAGGCAGGCGCTTTGCTGCTGAGCTAAATCCCCAGCCCCGACCATTTTTTTTTTTTTTTTGGTTTTTCTCCGGTACCGGGAACCGAACTCACAACCTTGCACTTGCCAGGCAGGCGCTTTGCCGCTGAGCTAAATCCCCAGCCCCGGTCATCATGTCTTATCTCCTGGTTTTATGCACCAGTATTTTGTTTAGGATTTTTGCACTTGTATTTGAATGATACTGGCCTGTGATTTTTCTTTCCTATAACAACTTTGTCACACTATCATACTTTATTTTGGGCTCGTGGAATAAATTTGGGAAGTTCTTTTTGTTCTTCTCTGAAGGGTTTATATGACATTGATTTTACATCTTCATTTAGTATTGAGTTGTTTATTTTCAAATATTTGGAATTTTTTTTATCTTTTGTCATAAGTTTGATCCACTTGCATAGTAGTCAGAAATACAACTACAGTCATATTGTTTCAGTTTTTTTATGGTTTGCTACATGCTTCAGCTCATATTTTGGTGACTCTTTCTGTACATTTAAAAATCCTGTGTACCCACAGTTGTTGGGTATGGTCTTTTCTATGTCAAGTAAGTTAAATAGGAAGCATTTTTCATTTTTTCTGTATTTTTACCATTTCTTTTTATCTTTTTCTGACAGCTACTCAGTTGTGTTAACATCCCTAATTATGGCTGGAGTTATTTTGTTCCTTAGAACTGCCTAATTTTGCTGGTTTGTGTATTTTGAAGCAGTGCTAATAGGCACACACAAATTTGTGATCATTATCTTTGCCGTTGAGTGGCCCTGTTGCCCTCCTTGCCTATTTCTTGTAGTAATCCTTGGCTTAAGGAAGGGCTGTTGTTTGGTATATTAACAAACCTTTAAAACTGTGTCAGCTTCTGTGCTGCCCAGTTGTATTCACTTCTGGGCTGCTTCATCAGTTAGCTGTTTGACTTTACTTTCTCTTGCAAGAACTTGCTAAAAACTGTGGTGGTTACTCATTCTCATTTTATTCTTTTCATAGTTATGGAAATATTACTACTTTTTATTATCATTTAAAAATGTGTAAGAAAAGAGTAGAACTATACATCCTGATCAGAAAGGTTCTTTATTTTGTAATCATTTATTTTTATTAGACGCTTCAGCAGTTGAATCAGTTGAGTTCATCTCATCAGGAACCTGTCATGAAATGCTTGAAAAGTAGGAAAGATGAAATCAAGCAAGTTCTATTAGGAGAAATAGTTAATATTTCCTCTGCACAGTTACAAGATTTTGACTGGCAGCTAAAGGTGAGAATCTGTTTATCTATGAGTACATTTTTTTTATTGCTTAATTTTTTGGAGATAGAGATGCACTTTTTATAATACATATCAGAAATTTGTGTTATTTTGAGAATATGTTGTTGCAAGGAAATAGCAAAGATTTTAATTACATCTTTTGCATTAACTTGGGTTTAAAGAACACTATAAGCAACCAAACCACATATCATAACATTGATAAATTCACCTAGTTGTATGTAAATCATAATAGTTGGGGCACTTTATATTATATTTTTATTTTTTCTAGAGATTTTTAGACTTTACTGCTTTCTCTGGATTGGTTAATATGATTCTGTCTCTGGGAGGAGAATCTATAATGTGATATTAAAGTAGCAGTTTTAAAAACATTTTGAAGAAAGTCATGATTAGCAGGGTTTGTAAAGAAAATTTCAGACCAACTTTCTGTTCCTTAAAAGGTACTTAAGGGGGCTGGGGATTTAGCTTTCGATTCCCGGTACCGGAAAACAAAACAAAACAAAACAAAAAAGGTACTTAGGGCAGTAGATGAGAAGAATCCAATACGCTGTTTTTTAATTTTAATATGACCTGCCTGAAGTGCCTCCCATTGTCTTTGTGGATTACATGGAGAAATGGTTGGGAAAATAACATGGTTGGATGAGCTGATAACTGAATAAGTGACCATCTAGTTACAGATGAATGACTTTGTATTAGCCGTGCAGATGGTCGCTGTGGTTCTGGTCTTTTAACATTTTTATGAATATTATGGCTATCAAGTTTGAGAGAATGCAACACCAAAGATGTAAATAATCAAACATATGATGTAATTAAAGTTTAAAACTATTTTATAACTTCTTACACAGATTGGCTAAATGAAGATAAATAATAAAGTGATAACCTAAGTAGAGAATTTTCATTTAAATAAGCATTTTCTGTTTTCATAAATGTAAAAGCTGGGGCAGAGATGCCAATATAGTGTGTCTGAGAAATATTTAGTTGTTTTGATTTGCCAAAGTATAGCTAGATGTTGATTCTAGTTCTAAAAATTCCATTTTTAGCTATTTAGTCTTTTTAGTTAGTTTAACAATCTTTTTAGTTCTGGTTGCCAGACTTAAGGAGGTATTTAAACAAATTGTAACCTAACCAGAAAACAGTGGTGAGGAATTTCAAATCAAGTTAGATGAGATTGCTTTGAAACATGTGAGACCATTTATGTGGAAAAGGTGAAATCTAGCGAAATATAATGGTTATCGGCAGAAAATGACTAGAAGTCATACATGGATGTGGGAGATGTGTGCTCAGGGCCTGCAGAGACTAGGCTGATCATGCTGCCGTAACATGGTTTTGAATTCAGCCTAGGGGAGAACTTAGCAACTGTACTTGGCTAGCACGATTTTCCTCTTGAGGTAGAGTGTCCTTCTATTCAAGCATAGGCTGAGAAACTACTTACTCTAGATACTGAAAATTATCCATGAGACAGACAATTAGAAGGTGATATTTTGAAATCTCTGGCATTATAAGTGCTGCTTTTGGATGAGAGAATGGAGGTGAATGAGGATTTGATTCTCCAGTGCCAGAGGGGAGACCCTTTGAGGATTTCATTAGGGAAGGTGTCCCTTACCACTGCACAAGATTTTTGTGAAGCGTTGTATTCTAAACAAAGATTGTAGAGTTTTCTGGCTCATGTCCTGGGGAAAACTGAGTTTCGTTTTACCATCTCCAGTGATGGTACCGTGCTTATTTCAAAAAGTATTAGTACCATACATGCTGTATTTGATTCTTCCTGTTTCTCTAAGGTATGTGCACCCTGGAGACAGAAACGTAGGAAATTAGGTTAGATGTGTTGAGGATTTTTTGTTTTGAGGTTCTAAGTAAAGGTGATTTTTTAAAAACAATTTTATTATTTTTATTTTTGCTTTGTTTTGAAGGTGATTTTTTGATAACATTTATTATTTAATAATTGACAATGATTTGGACATCTTAATTTCTGAGTTTATTAGTATTTCTAGTGTCCATTTATTATGATACATAAACTGTCATCTTTAACCTTTAAGAATTCTTTGTTTCTTTTTGATTGGACCCAGTCTGTACTTCCCAGAGTTTTTATTATGAAACAAAGTTGCAGTCCTGAGTAAAAGAATGTCCTGTGTACTAGGCAAATACAGATCTAGATATTTGCTTCTGCCACAAAATTGCTGGCTGATTGGCCCTTTTTCCTATTTACTTCTCTTTGTTAATCAGTTTCTCTTGTTTTTCTATCCTTAAGATATGCGTTATTTTGATATGAATTAATTTCTTCTGCCTTTCTCAGTATTTTATATCAAATAGGAGTACTTTATTTCCACTTAAATGTAGTTGCTAAACTCTGATGCATTTTTAATGTAGTCCCTTTAACTATTATTAATTACTGTTTTCCTAATTTTAAACAGCTTGCACTTTCTAGTGACAAGATTGCTACTTTACAAATGCCACTTTTAAGCCTTCATCTAGATGTAAAAGAAAATGGTGAAGTAAAACCATATTCTGTTGAAATGAGTAAGGAAGAGCTGCAGAATCTCATAAATTCCTTGGAAGCAGCTAATAAGGTATTGCTTTTGATTTTGTTTAAATGTTTTGATATTGTTTAAATGTTTCTTTTTATTGCTATCCTTAGAAAAATGAAAGAAAAATGTACAGGCAATTTTTTTTCCTTTTTTCCTTGATATTTTAGCAGCACAGAAAATACTTTGTTGAGATGTTCTGATCTCTGGGGTAAGATATTAAATGAATCACAGCTTGTTCAATTAGTACTGGAAATAACTTATCAAGTAGTTACTTTTGAAAGCCTAATAATGCTATTCTAAATGCTGAATTTGTTTTGCTTCAGTGCTCACTAACAGTAAAAATAAAATTTTACCTTGGGACCATTATATTAGTAGATGAAGAGTTTTTATGATTAAAAAAGTAGTAACGAATTGAAAAAAAAATCTGAATTAGCTAAACAAATGACAGTCCTCTAAGTTCAGAAGATAAAATACTACTTGTGTTATGACAAAATCAGGTTTAGACAAGATAGAAGTAATGACTATCTAAAAACTTTGCTTTTATAAAGCAATAGCTAAGTAGTACTAATTACTCCTGGTGTTTTATAGCTGAGAAAAATAATGTTTAAAAAGTAAAAACTGTTGTGAGGAGAAGTACATGTATATATATTTTTTCATTATTGCTTAGCATTCTCTCAAGTGATCTAGTCTCGGTGGTGGTTAGGTCTCAGTTATTCTTATTTACCTCCATTGCCACTGTCAGTCTTTCTGATTCTATCTTTTTAATACCCTAACAACACTAGCTGCTTCTTATACTCTGCTGTTGCTCAGACATTTTAATTTCTTGATAATTGGTGTTATGCTTTGTGTATAGATACCCTTCCAAAGCCTCGTGCACTCATGGGTGGGGCTTTTTCAGAGGTGTCTGGATCTAGAGTGTGTGATTACTAAGGTAGTCCACTGATTGGTTTGGCATAGTTCTGGGATCAAGATGTTGGGATTGACTTGTGGTGAGATAGTAGAATTAAGGATGTGAGTGCTACCCACCCTAAGGGTGGGTAGCCTGAGTGAGATATAAAGGACAGAAAGAGCGTCCCTCCTTCCTCAGTGCTTGCTTACTGTCAGGACAACCTGCCTTGGAGCCAGCCAACTATGGACTGAAACATCTACAAAGTATAAACCAAAATAAACCTTCCCTTCTTTAACTTGTGTCACGTATTTTGTCTCAGCGATGAGAAAAGTAACTAAGACAGTTGGTCTGCATGCCCAGCAAGCAGACTAGTAGCTCAGGCCTGCCTTGCCTGGGTTAGGCTAAGTTTGTGAGTTGGGTGTGAAGTAGAATATTGAGTGATGTAAGCCACAGAGCCTGGCAGACGAGGTGCATCGGTTACTGTGCATTGTACTTGCTTGTTATTAGTTCTCCATATCCTTCTTTGGAGATTTTAAAGCGTTTCATTTAGCATGCATTGGCATTTTTCTGGTATGACTTGATAACCCTTCTCTGTCATTTTTTTTTTAAGGTGGTCCTGCAGTTGAAATAACTGGAAATGATGAATACCAGCATTATCAGATTTCACTGCTATGATTGATACGGCAGAGTGAACACAGTGTTCAGAAACCCTGCAACATGCTGACTGCTATACCCGGCTGAGAAAGGAGCGGGTTGAGATTAGAAAGATAAGAATCTATTAGTGTCTCTAAAGAACAGGAAATTACATGGTTGGAAGGAAATGCATAAAATGAAAGTAAAAAAGCTATGGTAACAGTTCATATTTTCATAATGACTCTTGTCTCCTTTATTAATATTTAAGAAATCTTTGTAAGTAGTTTTATTAAAAGCTAAAAATAGTTTTTAAGGTAATGTAAACATACAAAGCACAAATATTGAATATTGCTTAAAGAAATATGTGAATAGCAATGACGTGTATTATGGGTATGCAATAAATTTGTGATATTTAAATAAGTTTGTAAAAGTGTATATAAGCTACATATATAACTCAGGAGATTCTGTATCTTTTTCATTTCAAAGAAAATATGTAAAATTTCTTAAGAGAAAAGGTCTTCGTCAGATATGAACAAGAAACAACTTTTAAATATCGGAGTAATTCTGAGTTACGAATTGTAGAAACTAAACTCTAGAACACAGAAAAGGTTAAAGTGACATTACTGCTTCTGTATTTCTGTGTCTGATTGGGAGACCATGCTCTGATAAAAGGAACAGATGTCATTTTATAGTGTGTACATTGTTATAAATATCGGGTAATACTCTACAGGTCCATTTTGGTGATAAATTTTTAATATTGAATTAAACACTTTTGGATGTTATGAAATTCATTGGAAGATAAACCATTTTTAAGAAGGATTCTGAACAAATAAAAGTGTTACTTTTTATTTTTATGTATTGCTTTTTTAAAATGACTTCCCGCATAACTCAGTAGTTAATTAATTGTAATTAATCAGTAATACATAATTAGTTGCCGCTTGCTATTTGCAAACATCATATGATTCCTAGAGATGTCCAGAGCAGTTATTACTATTGGTTCCATACAGGTGAAGATAGGCTTAGAGAGTTTTAATAAATATCTGAATGTGATCTAAACAGTGCTACTCAAAATGAGTCTTTGTAGTCGTGCCCGTGTATGGAATGTTTGCTGTAGCTTAGTGATTAGAAAAGCTTTGGCCAGAATGTTCATCAATACAGTGTATTACTTTCTTCATTGAGAACATTTGTTTATGAAAACTGTTAGCTAAAGTAAACAGTGTGTTTAGTGTGGTTGTTGATTTATCCTCTTTGCAAGTTCCTTGTGTCATTATGAACCAAAAGCAATTCACAGATCAGTACTTTGGCGTAGCGCTGATATTGAGATTTCTTCTGAATTGCAGTCTTGCAGGCAGAATTTCTTTTACAAGGAAAATATCTTGCTCTTGATAGCCCCCTTCTCACCACATGATACTCCATTAGCATGTTCAGTAACTTGGTTGAAATCTAATCAGCAAACCATGTACTGCATTTAAAGTGTACAGTGTGATAAGTTTTGGCAAATAGATATCCATGTAAGCATTGCCGCAGTTGAGATAGTGAACACGAGTAAGTCCTGAGAACTTTCTCTAGCTCCCTGTAATCCTTCCCCTAGGTGACCATTGATCTGCTTCCTGCCACTGCAGACTGATTGCATTTTCAAGAGTTTAGCGTGAATGGGATCACACAGTATATATATTTTTTCTTTCTTTGGTGCTGGGAGTTAAACACAGGGCCTGTAGATACTAAACACATGGTCTACCGCTGAGCATAGTTGTACTCTTTTTCCAAAAAAAGGTCTTATTTCAGCATCACTTTGAAGTTTTTGTCCATGTTGCATATATCTGTAGTTTATTCCTTTTTACTTTTATTTTAAGAATTATTGTATTGTAACGTTCTTCCACAGTTGGTGAGTTAACCTGCTGATGGGGATTTTGGTTGTTTCACATTTGGGGCTTTTACAGCACAGAGAACATTGTGAACATTGCATACATCTTTGTAAGGATACAGGCTTTCCTTCGAATAGAGTGAAATTGTTGCATCATATAATGGGTCAATATTTATGTTCTCCAGAGTGATTTTGCCATTTCATTCTGACTACAGTGATGCTGAGAGTTCTCCAGCTCACTGTGATCTGGTATGGTCAGTATGATTTCAGGTGTTCTAATCTGTGTGCGGTGGTATCTCCCCATGGTTTCAATGATCATTTCTTTAGTTACTAATGATGTAGAGCTTTAGATTTACAGAAAGGTAGAGAAGGTGGTATAATGTACCAAGCCCAGCACCACATACACATGGCCTGTTAGGAACTGGGTCACACACGGGAAGTGAGCAGCAGGTGAGTGAGCAAAGCTTGATCTGTATTTACAGCCGCTCCCACTGCTCACATGACTACCTGAGTCTCTTGTCAGCTCAGCTGCAGCATTAGATTCTCATAGCACAAAATCCGCTGTAAACTGTACACAAGGAGAGAGATCTAGATTGTGTGTGCTCTTTTGCGCCTTTTAATCATCTGGAAACCACCCCCCACCCTGCTACCATCTGAGGAAAATTGTCTTCCATGATATACAGGTCCCTGGTGCCAAAAAGATTGGGGACACTTGGTAAAGAGAGTTGCTATGTTCCTCATGCTGAGTTTTTCCTATTGTGAATAACTTACATCGGTATAGTTTTGGTATAATTAATGAGCTAATATTAATGAACTAACATTAATACGATTAACTGAATTCCACAGTTTATTCAAAATTCCTGAGTTTTTACCTAATTTCTTTTTCTGTCCCAGGGCCCCATCCTAGATGTAGTATTCCATTTAGCTATCATGTCTCCTCAGATTTCTTTGTAATAAGAAAATAATATCCCTCTTGTATATTTATACTACAGTTACTCATTTATGAGTGGACACACAGGTGTTTATACTTGACTTCTGAGCAATGCTGCTGTGAACAGGAAGGGCAAACAGCTCTGAGATTTCTGCTTTTATTGTTTAGAATAAATTGCCAGGAGAGAAATTGCTGAATCATAGCTTTTTAGATGTGGAGACACTACCTACTGTTTCCTAGAGCAGTGCAACATTTTAGTCATACCAACAATATATAAAGGTTCCATTTTCTCTGCGTCCTTATCAGTATATGTAATTTTGTTTTGTTTGCTTGTTTTTTATTAAAATCTTCCTATCAGGGAGAAGTGTTAGCTTATGGTCTTGATTTGCATTTCTCTGGTGAGTAGTGATATCTTTCATAAATGTAATTAGCCTACTTTTTAGAAAAGTAGGCTATTCATGGTCTAGACATGCTTCATTTCTAATTTTTTATTTTAGTACTGGGCGTAGAACTCAGGACCTTGTGCTTGCCAAGCAAGGTGCTGTGCTGCTAGCTATGGTCCTGGCCTTCATTTGTAATTTTATTTCAGTCTTCCTGAGTTTAACTAGGTTTCCTGATTTTAATGTTTTAAAAAATCAACTATTAATTTAATTATTTTTTCTTTTTTCTGCTTTTTATTTCAAACATTGTGCTCCAGTCTTTATTATTTCCTTTCTTTTTTTATGTTAACTTTGGGCTTAGTTTTTTTCTTCTTTTTGCTTTTCTGTTTTGTTGGGATGTAAAATTGGTTTGTGTGTTAGACACATTTCTATAGGTATGAGAAATACGTGAGAAAAACAACTTACAAGAAAAATCTATTTTGGCTCCTGGTTTTAGAGGTTGCAGTCCATGGTTGCCTGGTTTCATGTTTTTAGGCCTTTTGATGAGGCAGAAACATATGGCAAAAGGACATGGTGGAGGAAAGATTTTTACCTTTTGGCAGTTAGGAAGCAGAGAGAGAGCCAGAGAGGAAGGGGCCTTGTATGAAAGGTAGGCTCCAGACATACCTGCGTGACCCACTGACGGGCACAGCCTAAATGAGGAGAGGTTTATTTTGACTCAGATTCGCACACTGACGCATACTGACGGGCACAGCTTAAATGAGGAGAGGTTTATTTTGACTCAGATTCAGGCCATGCTCAGTAAGCTCTAATGCAGAAACAGCAGGGTGGAAGGGCCTGCGAAGGGAAATCTGCTGACATCATGGTGTCCAGGAAGCAGAGAGAAAAGAGGAACCAGACAGGGTGATAGACCCTTCCAGGTCATTCCTGTAGTGACCCACCTCTAACCACGCCCCTTCACCTAACATCACCCTCAGATGTTTTTTTTTTTTTTTTTTTTTTTTGGTTTTTCTCCGGTACCGGGAACTGAACTCACGACCTTCCGCTTGCCAGGCAGGCGCTTTTGCCACTGAGCTAAATCCCCAGCCCCAACCCTCAGATGTTGAAGTCAGTAGTGGATGAATCCTCTGATGGTGTCTTGCTTACTTTTCTCTTGTTGCTGAGACAAAATACGCAACACCCCAAATTAAGAAAGGAAAGGTTTATTAAGCTCACGGTGGTGGTTTCAGTCCGTAAGTCCATAATCAGCTGGCTCCAAGGCAGGGTGGCATGACATAGGGGCAGCACTTTAAGGCTGCAGAAGACAGCAAAAGCAGCAAGAGCAAAAGGGAGGAAGCAAGGCTCTTTTTCTCCCTTATATTGTATATCTGCTATCCGCTGATGCCCACACCTTCTCCACGCCCTCCTCTTCCACAAGCTGAGGATGTTTGCAAAGTAAGGAGAACACCCCCTCCATCCTGCAAACTGAATCACTTAGTTGAACTTTTAAACTTCTCAAGTTGACGCAATGAACAACATCCTAGAGGGGTAGGAGCATGTCCTTTTCATCCCAAGATGTAGAACTGCTGAGTTACATAGTTAAGGTTGTAGACTTCTCAAGCTGACACAATGTATCAACCATAACAGGTGGGTAAAGTTCTCCCATGATCCAATCCTTTTCCAAAAGCCCCACTTCTGAGTATGTGAAAGTTTTAGGGGGACATTCTATATCTAACCATGACATACTTCCATCAGTTAGGTCTCTCTTTTTCATTTTTATTGCCTCCTAATACCCCAAGAGATTATAAACCCATTGACATATTAATAAATTGATGGAGTCAGAGTTCTTAGGATCATTTCCTAGAAGCCCTACATTTGAACACTGTTGCTGACGATGGGATCAAGTCTTCCAACACATGAGCTTTTGGGAAATGTTTAAGATTAAAGCTATAACGTCCTTTTCCTGAAATCTTTATTCTCTTATAATTATGTGTTTACTGCTAGAAAATTTATTCAGGAATTGTTTTTGCTATATCATAAGTTTTCGTGTCTTATGATTTTGTCTCAAGATATTTCCTAATTTCTCTTTTGATCTCCTTCTATGAAATGTTTGGTAAACTGTCTTTAATATTCACATAGTTGTCAGATAGCTAGTCTTCTGCACCATTGATTTCTGGCTTCATTCTATTGTGTTCTGCAGAGTTACCTGGTGTGATTTCGTTTTTTTTCGATTTCTTCAGGTCTTCACTACTGATCTGCTTATATGTTCTATTATTAGATACTGAAAATCATTTGTTTTTATTGAAATATCCTGTTATTATTACCGTGTTACTCTTTCTCCCTTCAGTTCTATAAATATTTATATATTTTAATTCTCTGATGTTAAGGTATTTATATTTGTTATCTCTTCCTGGAGAATTGGACTTCCATTGTATAGTGTCCTTCTCCTTCTGTGTGTTCGTCTCAGGTAAAGTCACAGTTCAGAGGGCTTGTGGGTTTTCTTGTATCAGGAGGACATAACCTCCTGTCTCTCTGGTGTCTGATTCCTGCAGGTTCTGTGGAGCTGCTGCAGCTCACTCACTCGCCTGTTGTCAGCAACCCTCAATCTTCTGCAGTGCTCTGGGACCTTCATTGCTCTACGGCAAGAGAGAAATAACTTTGGGTAGCTCTAGAAATCCAAGACGTACATATTTTTGTCTTTCGCCTAGCGAGAGAGGCCGCTGAACTGTGTCAGCTCTTCTGTACTGCAGCCCTGGGGAGTAACCACAAGCAGCCTCCTGTCTTCCATTCTCAGCAGCTCAAGCATGTAGACTGCACCAAGCCTTATTACTCTTCTGAGTCAGAAATCTATCGGTTGGGCAGTCCTGCAGAGAGACAGACATTGGACTTAGGTTTCATTCAGTTCCCTTC